GTGGGCGCCAGACGGCGCAGCTCCAGCAGGTAGTGCCGGCCCACCAGCTCCGACAGGGCCATGCTGTACAAGGCAAAGAAGACGACCAGGGGCCAGCTGAGGCCGGCACGCCCCGCTGCCCGGGAGTACACGCAGGCCAGCACGGGTCCCAGAAACATGCCCAGCCCCAGCCACTCGAGGATCCTCATGGGCTCGGGGTTGAAGTAGCGCTGAAGCCGCTCGGGGTGGTAAAGCTTGAAGTAGAGTGCGTCCCTGAGGTGTGGTTTGGAGAAGCGGGCCAGCAAGAGGTGCTGCAAGACGGCAAATATCTCCTCCTCTGGCACAGCATCATCTTCCACCATGAGGACGTATTCTGGGTTGTACACCAGCAGCGACTGCTCGAGGCAGAAGACATAGTCCTGCTTCTCCTTCTCAAAATGGTTCTCCCTGGGGTCAGGGTTCTCCCCAGCTTTGTCACGACTGATGGTAGGGAAGAAGCTGCTCAGCAGCCTGACGTCCTGGTGGCTGCTGGGGTCTGGCTCCACGTTGCAGAGGAGGATGCGGTGGCTCTGGCAACGCGCCCCGCACTTCTGGAGGAGGCGGTGGAAGTGGGAGGCCACTTGCAAGACATAGTGGAAATCATTCTGCCTCTGCACAGTGATAATGGTGATCAGCAGCAAGGGCTGGGAGGAGTCACTGCCAGAGGTGTCAGAGGCATTTGGTATCTGCAGATTCTCAAAGTAGTGGAGGGCAGCCTGGCCCTCCTGCTGGTTCTGCTCCAGGAACTCCTGGCTCATGGAGTTCAGGTGCCAGCGCCGCAGATAGAAGTAAGAGTGGAGCAGCCGGTGACAAATCAAAGGTGCAAGCACACTGAATGTCACCACAGTCAGTGTGAGGAGATGGATAAAGGGACTGGACCAACGGCACCACTTTCCAGAGAGCTGCCAGGCTTGGTGTGACATTGCTGCTGCAGGAGGAGGACACCCCTGCTCTGCTCATTCCCTCGTGCCTTCACTTCCAAGACATCCTCCCTGAATTGCAAGGTGGAACACTGGGGCAGTGGCTGCCAAACCTGCACAGCTCATCTAAGCCTAGAGAGGAGGAAAAGAGATGGTTAATGAAATAGGAATTGCCAGAGTGGTAAGACTGTGATTTGAGAAATGGAAACCTGAGGGCTAGTCATTGAGTAAGCCACGATAAAACTCCTCGACCAGGGAGTCCTTCGTGGTGGGGGCATCATAGAATTGTCATGGGAGTTTGAGGAAAGATGAGCCAAATTTAGTTACAAGCAAAGTGCCCCTAAGGCTTTTTCAACATGTAGAAGCTCTGATCTGACTTAGCTAGATCGGACTTTGTTGTGTTTGTTGCTGTGCTTGAAACACATAAAACCCAGGCAGCATGGATGCAGGGTGTGTGGAAATCCCTTTCTGTTAAAGGCAGAAAACTTAGATATCACTATTTGGTCACAGTGACATAGCAAGACTTGGGTCATGGGCAAGAACAAAGCCAGACCTTTTGTATCTTAGCCTAGCACATATTTCAGAGACAAACTTTTACCTCTCCTGAATTACAAGCTTCCTTTCTGTTGCTCACACCTTCCAAATGCATTTCACTTTACCCTCTAGAGCATGAAGCAAGATAACAAAGATACCAGTTTACTTCATCAAAAGCACATGCACACGAAGTGACTGTTTGACTCTCCCTTATCCTTCCCATTCCCTGTCCTTATGAAATGAGTTACTCATGCCCCCTCTCAGCTGAGTGACCTCACCCCACTCAGTGGAGTTTCTCCCACTCTTTTTTACATTCTACCTTCACCAAATTCTGATCACACAAACATGCTCCCAGACCAAAATGTTACCCTTCTTCCTCCGCACTGTTGTCTGGAGCAGCCTAAGCAATGATGTGCAGATGGAGAGAAATCAGGGCTGTGGATTTTCTTCTCTGTCTCAGAGAAATGAACCACATAGAAGAACTTACTCAGAAGACACTGAGCAGGGACTAATTCTGGGACTACTTCAAAACTGCCTTCATTATTGCAGTCATAGATTTCCTGTATTCACTATGAAGAGAACAGCCATACGGGGAATCTGACAATCTTATATGAAAGGTGTTTTACTAAGATTAATGGAAAATATATGAGTTATTCCAAATGTTTTTAGAGACCAGGCACTACATTCTGCAAGACCTCAAACCATCCTTGGATAGACTGTGGTATCAATGTTGTGCTGTCTTAAAGCAAGACTTCAGGTATATAGTATAATTAAACAGAAATAATAAATTCACACTCTGATACATGAGAATCTGTAGTATCTTCCCATAAAGATCTTTTTGATTTCGTTCCAACTACACAATTCTGGTTTTGCATCAGTGGACCTTGTAAAGGCCTTAAAGATGATGGCTGCATTTCAACTGCCAGATCCAAGCCATGATGATTCAGGACATGAAGACCCGAAATCCATCAGGTGCAAAGACCTGGCATTTAAATACATTTATGCATCAATAAAACAGACAGTCACAAGCATTAAAAGAACACACAAATACTCTACAACTCACACTCCGTCGAGCAGCATTGCTGGCACTTTGCTGAGTCAGCAACTTGAAAGCAAGGATCACAGTGGGAAAACGAAATGAAGAAAAGCCAGAAGGTAGTTTCATTCTCAGGGAGTGAAGAAACTTACTTTCCATCTACCTGCTCTGCTGGAGATCTGAGATACAAAAACTATGAGGAATCCAAGAGAAACTTGCCTGAGGTCTTGCTCCTCTGCAGCCCGTGTTGTCCAAGGGCCAGGCTCACCTGCACCAGAAACTGCTTCCCAAGTTCCTGCAGTGGCCTCCCTGCCTGCCGCTCAGTTCCCACGGCCCTGCTGCGGGGAAAGCTGTGCTGGGACTCCACCTGCTGGTGTCCCACCTGTGGAGAGGTGGTGCAGGCCAGCACCCCCGTCAGGGCATCCCTCCTGCTGCCATTCAAGGCAGCAGCTAACTCTGAAAAGGCACACAGGGCTGGAAGTCAGACGTGCGGGACACCGTGCCATGTTCACAACTGCTTCTGACTTACCTCGTCTTCACCTCCTCCGTAGCACAGCTCAGGATCTTAGAGCTGTTATTCTGGTTTTGCAACTCAGAACACCTCAAGGGAAACAACCATCCATCCTACAGGCACTTCTCCCCAGATCTTCCTCTGCTGCTGCCTCTGCACTCACATCGACTGCTGCTCTGTTTTATCAGCTCTCGAAGAAAAGTCTGTTTCACTGGGTAATGGAGTAACCACAAAGGCTAAAAGTGGTCAGAAGCTCATTAAAGTGGGTCAAATACTCAGGTTCATACCAAAAACAAGCTGAAGGAGCTAGTAAAGAGAGGAGACACTGGCCTCCTCCCCACTTCTTGGCTGCAACACTGGGAACCAAAGAGCTTCAAATCTGGACAGAAATTTCTTGCTTCTGCAGAGGTGATGTTTGATCTTATCTGCAGGACTTGTATGCAGAGTTTCTAGTCAGGATGTTTCCTAGTTATTAGGACAGTTCCAACCTTACAGAAGCTGTTCTGGTTTCAGAAGCTGTTGGTAGTGTCACTTGCATCTTTTTTGTTCTTCTTTAAGTGACATTTCTGATAGAAAATGAAGTTTTCAGAGAAAAGCAAGAATCAACTGGATTTTACACTGCTTAAAAAAAACATGTATGAATCCTGAATATTAACTATTCTGCAACCATGTAAATACCTGCATTGGAGGCCACTTTTATATATGTTCTGTGTAGGACTGAGCCATTGCTTAAATGGGTTTAGAAGCTGTGTCAATAAAGCTACATATTTAGCTGGGTTTTTGACTTAGATCTTCATGACAAAGATTCCTTCCAGAAAATCATGGTTCACCTGATTCCAAATCTGCATTCCCATCATCACAAATCCTCTAATTACTTGGCTGAATTACACTGTTCAGGAAAAATTTACCTCTGCACACACTGAGGAAGAGTAGAAAAATAAAGTCATGTCCTCTTTGGGGTGCAGAATAGTGCCTACTGTGCTAGTGCTTTACAAGAGAATGCTGACTGTCTGTCTGCTCCAAACTCCTCTCCACAGAGGTACTCTCACAGGCAGGCAAATCCTGGGACATAGATTCCTACATGTTTCAAAGCTGTGAAATTTTAGGAGGCTCCTGAATAGCTGATGTAAGGGAGAGCATCTCTGTCTTCTACTGCCTGCTCTGTGAGATGAGGCCGTATTTATTCTTTTATTATTACAATATTAAATTATTCCTTTCTGCCTAACTACACTTCTTTTCAGTATCAATGGGAAAAAAACATTTCTTTCCTAACACAAAAACAGCTGGATGGAGTCGTGTGGTCAGAAGCCATACAGCCAGCCATCTCTGGGAAACAAAGGCAGGCTCTCAGAAATGGCCATGGAAAAGCCAGCTGTGATAGTTCCCAGCCCAGCCATAGTGGTGATAGTGGTAACAGTGTTCACACAAGCTGGAATTTTGAATTGTGTTGATCCTACAGTGGCAACCCAAGTGCCACTTGAAGCCTCTGTGCAAAAAACACACACCTAACCTAACATCATGCAAACAAGCGGCAGCCTCTGGACCAAGCTCCTCTGCTAAATACCCCTTTCTGGCAGAGACGAGAGCTTTGTCTTGGCCATGGTACTGTTAGTGAGCCAGTGAACCACCCTGCTTGAACCTCAGGAAGCTGATGCAAGCTTCACAAAGTCATGAAGAGCTATATGTATCTCCTGTTCCATATATACACACCAACAACTGACTGTTGTGTATAGAAATCCTCAGCTTCTGAAACCTGAGGTCCCTACCATGAGCTGATCCCTATTACTGGACCAGATGGCCAGCTTTACTCATCTGCAATTTCTCTTGTTTTCTCACAGCTTTTAGTAGGTCAGGTGCTAGATAATATTTCTGCCATGTGTTCACGGGTGCCCTGAAAACAGCAGTGTCCAGCAGAAGCAAAGCACTGACAAATCTCACCATTACACCTGGATGCCAAAATGGGAGTTTGGATCCCTACAAAATATAAACCATCCTGGAAAAAGTTGTGCTTCTAAAAACATTAAATCAGAGTTTTAATGGTAAGAGCCCAGTGTTCTTTTTATTTTACTAGCAGGCACTAAATATCTCTCTTACCTCTTTTACTGCAAGCACTGCTTAAAGCAGTTGTCATTATGTTGTTTTTAGACAGTGAATTTCAAATAAGCCAGGCTGCTCCATTTAATTTTCATCCAAAATGCTTCCCGATACGGCAAAGGCCAGGGCTGCTGGACTTCTCTTAGAACTTTTTGTTTCTTAGGGTCTATGTATTACGGGCATGACACTGGGACTGTGTAACAGGTTAATGATAGCTTAAAGCATAAGAGAAGTGTCTAGGGAGGTGGAGAGGGTTTGGACTCGGTCCTTTGCAGGACCTGGGTGATGTAAGAGGTAGAAATCAAGGGCACAGTTGACTGTTTTCATCTGCCATTCCTCAAGAGTCTTTTTCTGTCAGAGGAGATGCAATTTAAGCACTATTAGAGAAGTGAAAATGCACAGATACACAGGGAGTAATCTTGTCCATTTAGGAAATCCCAAGAATGTAAATTTACTGATAGGCTGGCCTGCCTTCTCATTTATCTGTAGTAAACTTTTAAAGGTTGCTCACAAACCCCAAGAAATCCAGGGACCACAGTTTGATAGCTACTGAATTAAGAGGCAAGGTTAAGTGGCTGTGGCAGCTGGAAGATATTTTCTCCATTTCTCTTCAACTAACAAAGGAAACTATGCCAGCCATTAAACAGACTATGAACTGTATATATATTAATTACAGTTATTTCCCCAACTTCTGCCTTGCTTCTTATGTACATTAATTTGCCACATAAATCTGAAGGAAGCCCATTCTCAAGACCTGCTGCTTTTTACCTGGCTGCCTCCCTGCTGGGTAATGTCATGGGAAACGTCATGTTGTTCCCTGTTGCTATC